ACACTGAGAGAAAAGACTGGTAACTATAACAAACTGCATTTAGTTACAGAAATTCGTTGAATCCTTAGTAACTAATACTAAATATGATAATAATTACCAAATATTTAATAGATCGGGAGTATGACGTAATTGCATTCACAGGAACATTAATTAAATAATTTAGTGTAATAGTTACTTAATATTAAATATTTAATATGAAATATCTTATAGAGAGAGAGAGAGAGAGTTATGAACAGATATTTGATAATTATTATGAAATTCTTATTAAAAGATTCAGTAGGTACGAGTTCTATTTTGTTATCAGTATAAGTTTGTTTTGTTGCAGCACAACGAAAAATTCATTCATTTGCAGCTATTACATCGTTTCAATATCTATTATTACAGATGGTTGGTTGAACCTACCAAAAATTTTGTAACTATTACAAAATCGCTTATTTTGCTCAACTATTCAATAAGTTTTATTTACCAAATATATTCTGGAAGTAAATAAATTTTACTTCTGTCAAAGAAATAATTTATTTTACAGAACTAAATTAATTAATAAGTATTATATTTACGTCTACCATTTAGTAATAGTAACCAAATTTTGATAATATTTATTAAATTCTTCCCTCAGTGTGAGAAAAAAACGTCGCAGCGAGTAATAATTAACTATCGCGTCAATATTATCACACATCTAAAGAGAATTACCAAACTGTCTACAATTAAATGTCTCGGTATTGACAGATGCGTCGAGGCATCGTAATCAGAATATTGGATATGTGAACCAGATATCGCATATGTATTCACCATATTACTTTCATAAGACGAGTATAGTGTCATTCACCAAGCCATTTCTCTCAGTGAGACAGTTCAGAATAAAGGCCTTGGAATTTAAGTAATGAGGCCCGAAATGAGATGAAGAGAACGCAATGAGTGACAAACTTTCACCAATTGACGAACTGCCGAATACACGGGCAGGATACGTTTAAACGAAGAATTCCACGTGTCCTTACGTTAAACAAGCAACGGTGACTCGCAGAGCGAGAGCTCGTATGAATGTCGGCCGTGGCTGAAAAGGTTAACGGAGCGCTCGTGAGATCTTCTTATCTCGAACCTTACTTGATTCTCTCCCACCCCTCTCTCTCTCTCTCTCTCCCTCTCTATCTATCTCTATCTCTCCCGTTCTCCTCGAACCGTAGGTAAGCGGAATCCAGACTTTTTTGACCGATGTATACCGGTCGGATGACGGTCTTCGTGGAGATGCCGTGGGTGGTGGGGTACGCGATAGTCTCTGCCCGTCTCTCTCCGGCAGATAGAGAAGAGAAAGAGAGAGAGAGACCGAGAGAATGGGGGGGG